TCCCGGCAACAATTCCCCAGTTCTGCTTTGAACAATTTTTTACTGCATTCCTGCAACATTCTTCATCATACCTATAACATATTACCAAACACAATTACATATAATAATACCACTACCATTAACAAACTCAACAACCTATTGATCTCAAAGTTTGTGCTCTTAACTCTGTGCTTAAAGATGTTTCTAAATATAGGACTTATTCTTGAAAGCTTTTATTCAATCTAAAAACACTTCTGCAAATGGAACTCCACTCAACTTAGGGTTGTGTGTCTTCTGTTTTTATTCAAGGTGTTTGTGTCAAAGTTGTTTGTGTATCTGTTCATATATTCACACACATACTTGCATACACTTTCATTCCTTCACTTTCACACGGTGGCCACCATCAAACAAACACATTTCACACAAACATACTTTTGAATTTCATGTCACTGTGTTTTATGAACCAAGAAACCATAATTATTCTCTAGTACCTTATAATGTTAAAGCTTCTTAATTAAACAGATAAAATTAACCAGATAGATAAACTTTCTTTTACCAATACCTAGTGAGTAATCTAAAGGTCATAAAATACATTATACTTAAATTCTTACTCTCTATAACTTATATACCTCTTAACTTCTAAAATTATGTGCCTTAAAAGCATTAAAAAATTGTACTTTAATGATATTGAAGAGACTATTAGCTACAACAACTTCTGGTGTCACAGTCACCTGCAGGAACAACATCAACCTTGTTCTGAAGTACCAGCTCCTTACCAAGGCTTCATCCATCACGCAGATAACCAGAGAACACCTGTGTGCAAAAAACTTCAACACATAAAACACTTTTGCAGGTCAATAGAGGAGAACTGATATCCTTCTTTTCCCCCCTTTTCGCTTCGCAAAAGTGTGTTAAGAATTACTGAATACCTTTGTGCTAATAACAAAAAACTATAACAGTTCCATTTCATAACAGAGTATGCTAATACTATCTACATCTTCTAACAATTCTGATCAAATTATAGGTTAACATGTTCAAAAATTCTACTTTCATGTTCTCATCTGGGTCAGGGTGGGTATTAATTACATGATGCAACCGATAAATTTCCCCAATGGTTCTGTGAGCTCCTGTCGGACTGTAGGAAAGGATGGAGCTGTCTTCTCATCATGTGCTGCTTGGGTTGCTTTGCTGATTACAACTTCAGTTGAAAAGCACAGATAGGGAAGAAGTACAACATAAGATCCGTGGGTAAAAAGAAAAGAATTCCTATAGATCATTTAGGCCTACAGTTAAATGCCATTTGCAAAAGAAAAGTCACGTATCAATATTTGCTTTGGGATGTATAATAAAACTCCAGAATTTCTTAACAATAAAACAATAGGTTTTGTTAAAGCTGAGGAACTATTCATTGAAAGATTGAAACTACAGGATTGAAGAACTGATAAAAATCCTACCTGATTGCACTGTACAAAGGAAAGTCTTTTCTGCAGACTTAATTACTCTCAGCAACTCTAAAATTTCAATAAGTCTCATCGGAAAATGTGATACAACCTAAGCAACTCTTCTGGCTTCATCTTCTAGAACTACTAAGATTTTGGATTTTGTCTCACATAAACAAACATCACAAATGTTTGCTCTATCATTTTACTTGAATTATCTGTTTTAAATTACCATAACAAATATTCTACTGTTGCCTAGTTGACACAATTCATAGGTATTTACACTATCATTCTGTTTTTGTTTGCTATATTTATCTTGTCTGCAATATGCATGAGAAACTAATAGAAAATTATCAACTTTTATCCTCATCCTTTTTTTTGTCTTAAAGCACAAACAAATTTCCCATGTTGATAGTACATTTATCAACCATCCCTGTGTTTGGTCTGTAGAATTCTCTCTCTTACGTGTATTTTGTTTGGTTAAGGATGATTCCCTGTGGGATGAGACACAATCCATTATCATTTAATTTACAGAGAAAGTACTCTATGGAGATTGGATTATGTGCTGTGAGCAAAAAAAAAAAAGGGCATTAATCTATAGGGTATTTTGGGACAAAGTACATTTTTCTATCACATTGCAAATTCCATTTATCCAGGATAGATTGCAAAGCCAATACTTGCTAATAATTCATCCTAGAGGCATACAAATAGTAGGAATAGATAAAAGGGGAAAAAGAAGGCATTGGTTGCTTTAAGAATGTCTAAGGAAAAGTGCAGAACACTTGCATCTGGTATTAAAATGATTTTGATTGCATTGATCACAAAAAGGTTGGATTTCTTACAAAGGCTTGGCCTGCAAAGAAAGGCTGGAGAAGATGGGGGCAAATCTGTCTTAGCAAAAAGAAGCAGCAGTCAGAGAAGTAACTTTTCTCTCCCCAGAGTATTTAGATTTAGACAAGAGAGTCCTAATTACTCTTTTCAGCCTATATTCTGAAATGCTGATGGATGATACATGCAAAGCAAAACAAAAGTCCCTGGGAAAGGAGTGAAGAATCTTCAATACACATGCATTTGTGAGTGTAAAATCAAAAAGAACACTGAGCATTCTCTGCTTAAAATCTCTAGAATGCAAATGAATCATACTAGCTAATAAGTTAAAACTATAACAGAGAAAGAAATATTTTCTTTACAGATGAAGTGATCAAAGATTGCAAGAGTGAGAATTTTTCTCACTCTTTATTAATTCTGCATATGCAGATTGCAAGTAGATGCTAACACCTGGTAAAGAAGGCAGTTCCATGTTAGAGCACTGCAGAAGTATTCCTGATACTGGCAATATGACAATGCAAAGCTGCATTAAATGTTTCAGTTACAAAACTACTGCCTAGAGCAGCTTACAGAAAGACCAATGGGTACTATACACAGCTCTAAAAAGGAAAGTGTTATTGCCCTGGCAGAGTTAAACTGAAGCAATTTTGTACATAAGAATGATGCACTGATTTAAAATTAGTACTTATTAGTTTGTTCTTGTTCCACAACAGTGCCATATCTATGGGCAAAGGAGGCTTCGGGCTTGAGTAGATGCCTGAACTATCAATCTCACAGGATTAGCAATTTTAAATTAAGAAAAAAGTTGCAAGAAAAGGTAATTTTCAGGCTTCGAAAAGAACTTTCATTGATTTCCAAAGTTTGGATCCCAGAACCATCAGTTCAGAATCTTACCCAAGTGGTGATGTCATCAATGCATTTTAAAGCAGCCTTCAATTAGGTTAAATAAAGAAAATAGAAGCCGATGAAGAAAGCTCAGTAAGAGTTTCTATTTCTAGATAAGGTTGGTTTTAAATGCATAATCAATTTTGCTAATTGTAAGATGTGATACACATGGCCCAGTTAATAGGCAATTAGTGAGGGTTTTGTACTGCTCAGTATGTTATTGTGAACAGTCAGCACAAAGATAATGTTATAAAAGAGTTGGTCTATACCTTTTACTCCTCATTGGAAAAGGACATATTTCGCATCAGTCCTACTCGGTAACATTTGCTCTGGGCTGCAACAGCATTTGCTTTTCTTATAAAATGTTTCATCTGCCTAAATTCCAAAACTCCTTTGTCAGATTTCTTAGCTCAAATGAGTGTACAAACAAGGGAAGCATTCAGGGAACATTTTTGATGTTTACACTCTCTCAATCAGTGGTGCTGTAACTTAAGTCTCATCTTAAGCCATAACAAGGTCTTGAAGAAAGCTCAATTGTATGCATGTGGAAATCTGGAGCAAAAAGAGAAGAAACAAAAATTAGGTTAGTCTAATTGTTTCTTGTAAAGGACAAAAATATCTTATTTTTCCAGACCTCTTTCTCACTCAATCACAACGAGATGTGTAGACTGAAACTTGATCAGACAGAAGGGTTAAGAGAGCATTGATTACATGTTTATGGAGATTTGTTCATCTTGGCTGAAATGAATTCTGATGTCTTTTTGACATGAATAAGGTAGAGTTTGATAGAATTGGTCTTTTCACAAAAAATTTTTTTTTTTAAAAAAGAAAGCAGAAGAGAATTATGTTTTCTCTAGACTCATCTTTCCCTACTCATTCTCATTAACACATGACATTTGAAAAATAGATACAACAAATAGTAATGTCTCTAGATGTCAAAATCTGGGAAGTGCATATGGTCAAGTACCACACTAAAAGACCTAGAATACTGCAGTGCAAGGAACAGGACAGACTCTTACAGACTTCAGTGTCTCTAGTTTATACAAGCATTCTTGCTACTAGAATCTCAGATAAAGTTTAAAGAGCTAAGAGAAAAAAAAAAGGAAGAAGAAAAAAAGGTCCTTATTTTTGGAGATAATGCTTATTCTTAAAATGTTGTAACACAAATGTGGTATAACCCGATCTTAACCCATACTGAGTAGTTATAGATTTAGCTTCATACAGCATCTTCTAATTTAATGTTTAATAGCTCCTATTGTCTCCCGCATCTGTTCTAACTGGGAATGCATTAGGAGTTAACAACTAAAGTTTTTCTTTATCACAGCATCTCACAGAATCTCTTTCTACCTCTGCTCCAGACTTTTCACTGTCGCCAGCCCCTGATCTTTCAAACAGCAGAGACACAGCAACACGACCAATGTGATCAAAGCAACGTCCAATTTATTATTTAAATCAGTTCCCTTGGATACAGTTTAGTTTGCTCAGGGTACAAGCTCACAATAAGAGGACTGGATAGCTCAGTTTGTGCACGTGTCTCATGCCCTCAGTTTATTGGATCTGAGGCTCTGTCCATGTGACCTGAAATCATCCTTGGCATAGAAACCTCTTTCTACCTAATCTGCTTTGAGGGGTTTTTCCTAGATCTGCAGGTGTACTTTTATCTCTAGGTTCTCAAGGTTTTCTTACTATAAACATACTACGTTCTCAAACCTTATCATTAGACACCCAGCTAACAAGTACAAACATCCCATATTTTCACACAGTCTGTAAGTACAAACAATACACACTTGTCACTTCCATGGCAAGCAAGGCCTACAGAGGGCAGGAAAAACTGTTCAGAGAAATCTCTCTGTTCCAGCAACATCTTACCACACATCCCGAGGGAGCAATCCAGAGTCCAGCCCGTCCCACCATTCCCAGGAAGGCAGTTCATGGGCTGTCTGGGGCTCAGGGAGGAGTCAGGGGGCTTCTCTTCTTCCTGCCCGCTCGCCCCATTTTCTCCTGCAAAAGCAAAGCTTTCTTGGCTTTCCTTGCTCAAGGAGATGCAGCAAAGGCCATCTTTGCAATCTAATACTGCAAACTACTCCAGGTTGTCATTTCAGGGGGTTCTCTCAGGTCCTGCACTAATCAATCCCCTTGGCCATTGCTTTTCTAGGCAGGTTCTTGCATTCACCTTCTACAAGCAAACTATGAGGAGCAAATTCAGCTGTTCCTGCAACCAATCCAGTCTGGCATTCTGATTTTAAAGGATACTGGCTTGGCCTTACCAGGAGAGATCCCACAGTAGGGGTAATACCTACAGGTTCTGCCCTCTTCCACTCTCCTGCAGTTCCACTGGCCCACACCACAGGAACAACTGCAGCTGCCACTTCAGTCGGGGCCTTGCTGCTGACAGGAGTTATTCCCTGCACAACAAGAGCTGCTGCTTGGACACATTTAGTTTCAGCAATTACAGTCTCAACAGCCCCAGTTTTCAATTTCATTTCTGCCTCAACTTTTCCAGTCCATCTCTTCCTAGCACAGGTTTGGGGGAGTTTGGCAAACAGACAAACTGAGGAATTCCCCAATGCTTTCCCAGTTTAACCCCTGTCACACCAATCACCTTAACAGTGCCAGCCCTTAATTCTCCCTCTCTTGGGTTAAGGACTAAGGAGGTTGGACCTGTGTCTGAGCAGGACATGTGCAAACCAAATGCTGGGGACTGGAACACACACCTGGCACTCCTGCAGCTCTCACAGTCACATTCCAGAGAAAACAGCCAATTGGACCCTCACTGCTCATTTCTTAATCCCAATCCCACACTTCTTTGGCACTTGGAGCACCACTTTTAGAACCCAATTACAGCCCATTAGAGAGCTCCATGTCTAGCAGGGACAGGGACCCCTGGGATACTCTCAGCAATGCCTGAATCCATGGCAGGGACCTTGCTTTGAGCTCCCCAGGGCCGGGCACCCCGAGGATCTCCCCGAATAATCCTTTCGGTGCGCGCTGGAGTCCTCGGGGTGCCCCAACCCGGGGGGCACCAACAGCACTGTCTCTCCAGGGGGGCCAATTTGGTCCCAAAATGCAGGGGGATCTTGCCTGTGTCCCAGACTGGTCCGGGGATCTGAGGCCCTTCCCGAGAAAATCTCGGTGCTGGAGTGAAGGCCCAGAGATCCCTTGGAGCCATGGGAGAGCAGGCACAGAGTCCCTCCTGGGGGGCCAATTTTCCTGCCTGAAATCAGCTCTTCAAAGAAGCCTCTAAGACTCAGTCGGTGAGCTTTAGAAGCCAGGCATTCCTATACACTGTGAGATATTTTAAGGCTTTACTGACTGAAAAGCAGAAAGCTTTTATCATCGACACCTGACCTCCCACAGACAGCTCCTTTCCCCTTTCAGTACAAAATTATTTTCATGGAATCACTCAATAGGAAGTGCCCAGGAACCCCAGACTGTGCTTTTCAGAACAGAAAATAAACAGAAGAACGGAGTGTTGCACAAGTGTAACATACTCCAGAACAGACCTGATTTTAGTTTTACTCTTTGTGTTCAAATATTCCATAGAAAAGCTCCAGCAGGAGAGCTGGTACATTCCCAAGAGTATCCTGGAAGTCCCTTTCACGAGGGCTGGAGGAAAATCGCAGTTGTATGAGTCCCTTGTGCCTGCAGATGCCTGGGGATCCTCTCCATCCACCGCGTGCTCTCCCAACAGCAGAAAGGGTGCTGAGACAGGAGGAAGGAAACCTTTAGCATAAAGCTGGGGAGGAATATAAAGCTTCCTTTCCTGGGGAGCTTTGCGAAGTCTGCAACGAGAAAGGGAAAATTTGCATCTCCTTTGGTACACGTGTCAACAGAGACTGAGACTTTTTGCCTTTTTCAGACAACCGTGCCCCTTTTGGCTCCCCGGCAGCTCCAATGGCACCAGAACCCCCCTTCCTGCACACCCCCGGCTGTCACACACAGGCACCCACACACCTTTGCTCCAGCCCACACGTGGCCAACATTTCCTCACCCTGCACATCCCAAGGGCAGTAGTTTTGCTAGAGAGCACAGCAACCCCCCTGTCCTTGCAAACTGCCTCCCTGCAAAAAAGGAACCATTTCTCCTGGACACTTCTCCCACAGTCAAGGTCTTTTCAAACTGCTGTCGTGCCACCAAACCTGCTCAGGGTCCCTCCCAGCTTCTGCCTGTCCTTGCATTTAAAGGCACGGGCATATTCTACCTTCCAACAGCAAACCCAGCTCCTCACTGGCAGTAGAAGCCCTGCTCTTACCTGGACAGACTGCCGGGCTCGGCACAGCTGTGGCTCATGGAGCAGCTTCCCAAGGCCCTTCTCTCTCCCGGCAGGAAGCACAACTCGCCTCCACTCCCCAGCACCAGGGGAAACCACGAGCCAGGCTGCAAATTGACACAGAACGAGCAAAAAGCATTAATGCAGCACCAAAAAAAACCAAGCTGAAGCAGTCTTTGCCTCCCTGCACAGGGAAAGGGCTTGGAATTCCAAAGCAAAACTTGAGACACCCAGAGAGCACCAGCCCCGCAGTCCTGCCACGGCTCCCCCAGGGTCACCCGGCAGGGAAGGGCTTTACCCGGCCCCCGCTGCCCAGCACAACGCGCCCCTAAACGCCCCCCAGCTCCCCCGGTCCATAAACCCAGCGGCCAAGGCGCTCTCCCCTCCGCAGCCCGGGCAGCAGCGGGGCCGCACCCTCAGCCCTCACACACAACCGCCCGCACCCGCCCCGCCGGCCCTTTATACCGCGGGCCGGCAGCGCTGCCCAATCAGCACTCGAGCGCCGCCGCCCAATCCCAGCCCGCCTGGCCCCGCGGCCCCGCCCCGCCCGCTCCGCTCCGGGAGATCGGGAACTGGGGCCGGGAACCTGCTGCTGGGGGAGACACCCTGCACATGGAATTGCACACGGGCACCTGAACCCCGGGCCATTTTCTTGCCTTGGCAAGGCCCTGCGTTGCTCCCAGTCACAGGAAATCTCTGTTTCCCTGCCCATCCCCGGAGACGGGTGGCCCCTAAAATCCCCGGCAATCAGGAAGCACAGGCTGCAGGAGCTGGCGGGACCCAGTGGCCGTGTGTGCTGTGTGACACCGTGTCCTGCAGCCCCACGGACCTGCACAGCAGGGACGGGTCCTGGCAGCGTTTCAGTGCCGAGGCCAAAGCTGGGGCTCAGGGACAGCTGGGGCACATGGCAGCTCTGGGAATCTCTGCCATGGATGTCTGGGCATTCCAGGACTGCCTGCTGGGCAAAGGAGCTTCTCTGCAGACTGTGGAAGCAACAGGTCTCATGGACTGTAAGAAGCCAGAAGTGCTGCAGGACTGTAGAGGAATCTGGGTCAGAAGAGACAGTTAAAGGTCTCGAAGTCTGACCTCCTGCTCAGGCCACAGTCACCAATGGGATCGCACCGGGCTGCTCAGGGAGGGATCCAGTCATGTTTGGAAACATTCCACGGATGGGGATACAACAGCCTCCCCAGGCAACCCATTCCATGAGCGACTGTCCTGACAAAATACCTTCCCCTCCTCTGCGGTTGGAAGCAACAGCTGGGCTGGCAGGAGCAGAACCTCCCTGCTGGGCCATTCCCCAGCAGCCCAAACGCCCTGTACAGGGCTCGGTGCGGAGGCCTGGGTGGCTCGTTCCTCCAGCTGGGCATTTTAGGAGCTGCCCTTGCCCCGTCACTGCCAAGTCCCTCTGGCAGTGGTGCAGCTCCTCAGCTGGAGTGCCTCTGAGGGACCCCCGGCCACGTTTCCCAGCAGCTGAAGGAAGGGAGGCTCACCCCCCAAGCTGGGCTGCCTTTCTCTCGCTGCCTTTTCCCCACCTTTACACTGCAGGGACAAGAGCTGCACTTTCCCAGGGAACGGGGCAGTGCCAGGGGAGAGCAGCAGGCAGGAACCCCCTTCTTTTCTGCAGGCCAGTGACTAACTGTGTGTGAAGGGACAGCGACTCTGGTACCAACTCCACCTCCCACTTCTTGTCACAGATCGATCTGAGGCACCTGTCCGGTCAATACCTGCCCTTTTCAGGAGCACCAGGCTTGTGTTCAGTGTCCTCATTGTAGCCCACGAATCCCTCTAGGTGTTAAATCGGCCTCTCTGTCCTGATTCTTCTAATGAAGAATTAGCGTTTAATGAGAGATACAAATTATCCTGAGAGTGTCTATGTTACAAGCTCAGTTTGGCAGTGTTGCTATCCTGGAAAGTGTGGAACAGGGACTGTCATTTCTCCTTATGCTGCTCTTAAACACCATCCCTACATTGCCAGGAGAACTCTGGAGGGAGAGACAGAGAGTTTAAAACACGAAACCTTGGCATCGCAATTGTTATTTCTAAGGATGTGTTTCTATCTGATCCAGTTGTTGGGGTGATTACTCTGGAGAGTGTTTTGTACCTCAGGCAGTAAGTCTGATGGATCAGCCTCCTCGTGAGCAGGAACCAGCACGTTCCCCAAAGGAATGTTCTGTCAGACTCTGTCAAACACAGCACGGAGGTGAGCAGGAGTGGTGCTTGTGCACAGCTGAAGCGAAGCACACTTGGATTCGAACTGCTCTGGGAGATCTTTGTTGAGATGGGTATTTCTGCCCAGCTTCTTGTGACGTGTTGAATTTCGAGATGAGCTGATAAAGGCAGTGACACTGTTCTGTCATCACTGAGCTTTTGAGGATTTCCAACCCCTTACTCTTAAGTCCAGGGGCTCGTTGCCGGGGGTCCGTGCTCGGGGGTTTGTTCCCGGGGCTCGTTGCCGGGTCCCGCCCGTGCCCGCTGCAGGTCCCGGCCAGTGCCGCCTCTCGCCCGGCAGGCGAGTGGGGAGTGGGGGCCCCGCGGCGGGAGGAGCGAGGTGGGATTGGGGCTGGGATCGGGACCGCTGCGGCCATAGCGGGGCTGGGACCCCCCCAGGGAACGGGACACGGTCCCGCTCGGGCCGGGGGAGCCGGGGCTGTGCCGCGGCACGGGAGAGCGGTGATCCCCGGTGGGCACGGCCGGGACTGCAGCCCCGGGGCGCGACCCAAAAGCGGGGGATGGACCCCAAACCACGGCTGGGATGAGATAGTGTGTCGTGGGTGGCCATAACCACTTGTCCCTGCCGCAGTCCTCGGCCCTGTCGGTCAAGTCCTGCAGTGCGGACTCGCCGTTCCCGGTAGCTGGAGAGGGCTCCCATCCCCGGGCAGCCCCAACGCCCCTAAATCCCGCAGCTCCTGCTCCCGATCCCGGTGTGCCGGCTCTCCTCATCCCGCCCCTGCCGCAGGTATCTGTACGAGTACGCCAGCAGCTACAGCCAGGCGCCCCTGCCTGTGCTCCTGGGCTCCACCAGGACCTTCCTCTCCATTGTCTCCACCTGCTGCATCTCCCCTGCACCCACCGCCTGCTTCCTGAAGGAGGTGAGCCCCCTGGCACCAGTGGGCTCATCTCCATGCTGCTCCTTGGCAATCCAGGCCAACCAATGACGCCTGCTTCCAAATTTCCAGCCACTCCCCCATCCCACCACAGTGATCCTCAGATCTCAATTCAATCAGACAAGACTCGACACATGAGGAGCGAAAATGGACATGAACTCTCCCATAAATGCATAAAGCTACTTTATTTTCAGTAGACATTTAATTTTGAAAAATATAAATGCTAAAATATCTCATCATCTTCATCTTTTGATTCCATAAAAGTCACAATAGAAAGCTTCATAAAACTGTAAAATACTATAATGTTATAAGGAATTTCATGGTTTATATTACTGGGAAAAAAAAAATCACTTTAATAATATTTGAAATGTTTTCTGCTTTTTTCCTTTTTGTTCCACCATCCTGATCCACTTCATTTCATCCCAAGTTTTCATTCTCTCCTCCAAAGCAAATACAGACTTAGGAGAATTAAAAACAATAATAAAAGTAGCTGAAAGTGCTGTTGATTCAAAATAAAAATACAAATACCAAGGTGTATCAGCAGGCCAGAGGCTGGTGGCCACCGTGTTCCTGGAGCTGGGACAAAGCTGGCTGTGGCTGGTGGCCGTCAGGGGTCCCACCGGGAGCTGGGACCTTGGATTTGTGAGGGGAAGGTCGTTGTTGACGGCCGACTCTGATCTCAGAGGGCTTTGGGTCAGCCTCCACACCTATTCCCTGAAGCGCCCACCCAGGCTTTTCCTACGGAATACCCGATTTGGATTGAGCTGCTCCTCTTCAGGCCTTTTCCCGTGCCTCTCCAGCCTTTTCAGAGCAGGTTTCAGCCGCGTTCCTGTGACATACAACACAGCTTTCATGGAAACGGAAGCAAAGACCCCTCGAGAGTGAGCGGGGGATGTACGGAGGTGACGGCTCCTTCGTGGGAGCAGATGCTAAAATTTGGCATTTAAGGTCTCAGCACTATCAGAAAATCCTCTCGACTTCACCAACAGGAACTTTGGTTTCACAAGGACCAAGCGGCAGCACATGCCCTTCCTCTGCAGTGGGGTTGTCTCCATCAGGGAATTCACCTGGACAGCTCGGGGATTCTTTCTTCTAATTTTAATTTTTGGACGAAGCTTTTAGTGTGTTCCCTCATGTCCTGGTGAAACCCAGTTTCCCAAAGGCTTGTTTAGATGCACACACCAGTATAAACACGCTACAGAGAGAAAATCCTCCCCTGAGGTGATTGCTCACTTGGTTCCACCCCAAAATCCTGGGATGCCCGTGCCTGGCCTGCTCGGTCCTGCTGCATTGCCGGGTCTGGGGCTGAGAAGCTGAGTAGCAAAGATTTCGGGTAGATTCCACAGATGATGGTGTGGGATGCAGGAGGATGCGGATCACATCCCGTCTCCTTCACAGTAAAGATTACTCATAAAAAATAAACCCCATAAAACCAACATAACCCTAAAACAGCCAGGTGCTTCGGAGCAGAAGGTGTTAATGGAACCGATCCAGCCCTGTGCCACGTCCTGGAGATGGTGGTGTGGTGGGTTTGGTTTTTTTGTAAAAATCACATTATATATGGTACAATACATTTTTTACAGAAAGCCTGGCATCTAGAAATAAGAGATAGAACTACTCATAACTATACGTTTCCTGCTGCAGGAAAAAAATTCATTTTTCTTTACAGTAATTAAAAAACGGTTAAAAAAATTGACCAAAAAAAAAAAAAAAAGAAGTCATAGGTTAGGCCCCCGTAATTTAAACAAAATAATCTAGGAAAATAACACTCTTCCATGTACCTGACGGATTAAGTCCATTAAAGTGCATAGCTTGCTTGGCTGGGGAGAAGGGCTCTTGGCTTTATAGAGCTCCAGCTGCCAGTGCCACTGCCCAAATCGTGTATGGACGAAGATTCCTCCCAGAGCAAAGGGGCCAGGACAAAAAGCTCTTGCTGCCCGTGGAGTGCCCAGGCTGGCCCACCAAATGCACCAGAGCCAATCTTTAAAGGAAAAAAATGAAAAAAGGAAAAAAGAAAAAGGAAAGACATGTATACTGAAGGGAGCCGAATGAATCTTTCAGAGTCTGGTCTGTTCATCTAGCTTGAAACAAAATTGAGAAATAATTGAAAGCTTAGCTGCAAGTCAGCATTGGAATGAGATGGTAAAGTTGAGGACAGAGTGTGCTGGACAAGATGGCAAGATCTTTAAGAAAAAACTTAGGGTTTTCCTAAAACACTGAAAATGAAAGATCATGGCTATGACTTGTGAATCCTCTGGCTCTATTTTTATCTCACATTGTCTTTACTATCTTCAGTATTTAACAACATTTCCAGCTGTACTATATGATAATGTCTTAAATCTCATGCTTCAGGTCTTCAGGAAGTTGATGATACTCTTTTTCTTGTAGTTGATTAGAAATGTTTTCAGTTAAAGAACCAAACAACCCTCCAAAAGCAAACAAATAAACAAACAAAAAACCCCACAAAAAACCCCTACCAAAACACTTGCCATTGAAACAAGAGACTTTGGATACCAGCTGGATGTAAAATACTTGTATGACAAATCAGTGCATTTAGTCTTCATTGACAATGAGATTTGAATCCAGCAGGAATCTTAACTCATGATGTAATGGTACCAATTTTAAAGGTGAAGTAAATGAGGGAAAGCAGGAGGATAAAAGAAGTTAATTCCATTAGCAGGGGCATGGGGAATGGGCTGACTGCTGGGTCAGTCATACTGATAACCCCTGGCTGTTGCCATATGTGACATCTAGTGCCATCTCTGCCTCAAAGACTGAAATGCATTAAGCTGCAAAGAGTCACTTGGCTTGCATGGGCATAATTTAAATGGCTATGGTATGCATGATGTCAGATTAAACGATCAAAATGGCTCTTAAGCTCCCAGAGATCTCAAACACAATTTGAGTATTGTAATAGGTGTAACTGAAAAAAAATCGAAGTCCAGTTCAGCTTTAAACATAAAAAACATTTCAGGTTTGTGATTGACAGGCTTGCAACTGCCACTGATATTTAAAACTCAAGTAATATAGTTCATCACATCCTTAAATTACACTTGTAAACCACATTTATAAAACACATGAGCTAAATTATCAATTAATAGGTTACTATGATACAAAACCTATTTGATTTGGATGTCAAATGTGCAACAGCAGAAGGCTGTCACAGGACTAATGAGGGGGAACTGATTGAACCATTTTGCAAGTCTTGGTTAAGAGTTTTCCCTTGATACCTGTTTCAAGGCTAGACATCATTGGCATACTGACTAGTCCTTTGCCCAGACTCCACAGCTCTCTGCATTGTGTAGTAAGTTTTAGAGACACCTTAGTGAATAAATCTTTAAATGTTTCCTTCCTCCAGGGGCTATAGACTATTTCTGTAGTCTCCCAGGAGAATCTGGTGATGATATTTTTTCAGTCTGTGACAAGGTAGGGTTAAACTCTTTTCCTCACTGCTGCTTTTCACAGTGTGTCTGCTTAAAGGGCACAGTAATAGCTAAAGGGTTACATTACTCAGACTAGGAAGCAGGGCCACAGGCACATCCATCATTCTTAAGCCAAAGGCTGAGAGACACAAGAATTAGTCCCGCATTTTCCAGGGGTTGAAGGAAAGAAATCATGCTCAAGGTTTTTTTCTTTCTAATTTCGCAGTGGAACTGTCTACGA